TGAGAAGTCCACCAGCACCCGATGGCCGTCCTGACGTCAAGATAACAAAGAAGGTACACACATCAAAGGACGCATGCACAAAGGGGTGAACGCGCGCGCAACAGCGCCGCCACGTGTCACTCTGAGGACCCCGCACGCTGGCTGATTGGATGGGCCACTCACGCGTGGACCAATAAGAAGAGATAAAGCGGGAAAAGCCGTTCTTCCTTAAATAGGCTGCCATCGACAGGAGGCAAGATTCTGTTGCCCACACGAGAGCATGCTGCCGAGACACAAGCTACAGACGAGACGGCTGCTGCCCATAGGGCTGTCGAGAAGTCGAGGCACACGCCCAAAAGCTGATGTAAACACAGAGACTGTTGCAGAAAACTGTTCACTACTATCCTGTCTGTCTTCTCCTCCTAGCATACAACTGGCAGACATAACAAGAAGGACATTTTAACAGTGAACAACAGCATGTGCAAGCATCAGTTCAAATGCAGCGGGATTTAATTCGAGCAAAAACATCTGCTGCAGCATAAAGTGATAGAAGGCTGGAAAGTAAAGCTGGTACACGTAGGAAACGAGAAAGGGTACCCCTCCCCTATTACAGTTGAGGTTGCTTTATATTCGAGTCTACCACTGACACAATGACCACAAAGGAAAATAAAAGAGAGCTATCAATCATCCGAAACAATAGCATTGTCCCGATGATGGATCGGTGACGGAGTCCGAAGTGTCAGGCGAATAAGGTTCCGGTTGCAATGATTGTACCTGCTTCTTCTCAACAGCCTGTATGTTCAATCAATACGACTTCTAGTTACCAGTCTTTGCGACGATTTTGTATGTCTCCGTGGAGGGATTTCATACGAATTTCTAATATCTCATAACAACTAGCATGTCACTGTTGAAGTAATAAATAGAATGTAAAACCTATGTTTATTCATAGCTAACTGGACGAAACGAACATACCATCGCACATTTCAACTTAATGAAGGCAGTCGACTCAACAGAGCTAAAGCGCTCCTGAACCGCATAGTTAGGAAATCGCAGTTCAAGACTAGTGATCTAGGAGGTGCATCGGATGCCACAGCAGCTGGCCACATTGCCGGTCACTCGAGTATGAACCAATTGAAAGTGGTATAAGCCTACGCGGCATCTACCACGTTCCCTTCCTTCCCCCCTTTTCCATCA